CAGTTAGGTTTAGCATTCGATATATCTTACGATCGATATTTAAGTTTTGTAGAATAATCTGTAATTTTATTTTATTTCCTCTCAGACCTTATTTTTCTAAATATGATTGTTTTCTTTTCAACTCGTATAAAACGATGGATATCCCTTGACAGTAGATGGGAGCCGCAGAAAATATGCTGAATTTAGAACAGGTAGATAAGACGAAGGAGAGGAGTGGAAAAATAAAAAGGAACGTAAATAGAGTAAGAGGACCGAACAAAAGTGAAACGAGAAAAAAATAGTGGGATAGAGGGAAAAAGGACGAAGGAGGTATCTTGGGGTAGCGTGTTACTAAAAGAGCGAAGGAAAAAAAAAAGGTACGGTTAAGGGTGTTTGATCAGCAGGTCAGAATTCGAATATCGAGTATCATAATTTACATATCTTCGTTAAGGGTGTCGGAAGGCTCGCAAATTAATCGAGGAACGAAACTTGTCATTTCTTTTGAAGTATCATATACGAATGAAAAAGAAACTTGAACTCGTGAAAAATAAATTTTATATTTTCTACATAACGTTGAACTGTTATCAACAGATTAATTGATTTTTAATTAAACATTAATCGGTGGCGATTGATACACATTGTACGCCTATCACGGCGTCTCTCGATTGCTCTTGAATCGTTGTAATATTTAAATGGCAAATTGAATATTTTATAACCGAAGCCGCGTGGATCGCATGCATTATTCATGCTTTCCAGAAATCGTACACCGTCGGTGCAACGTGATGTCAATTAAGCATTCATTATTACCGCATATATTATAAAGTCGACTTCGAAATGTCAATTTTTTCCATTTTTCTAAACGCGGGTCGATGTTGCCTCGCACCAGGATCGGTATACTCTTTATTTACTCTCTTAACGAGTTGCTCGATAAGTCTTTGAAAACACGCCAAGTGTTTCCGTCTTACGCCGTATAAGATTCCTCAAACATCGCAAAGGTCGTTCGGTTTTCAATTTAAATCCTTGTGATCGGTAGCTATCAGTTCAGCTTCAGTCTTCGGTCAAATTAGACTTCCAGCCTTAATTTTGACAATATATTAATATTAAAATTCAAGGCTAAACTAAAATTCAATTTGATACACCTGTCAACCGTACGATGTTACAGAAAGCAACGATGTATCCAAGCAAATATCTAGAGGATTGTGAATTCATCATAAATCGGATCATAAATCCGAGTGTGTTCCATATTTATAAGAGACAGAGAGGAAGCGAAAGGTGCATCGATGCACAGCCAGCTCTCGAAGATACGACGCGGTTGTCGTCTCTGGAAGCTAATGGGACGCCGCCGACACTCTCCTCTCCTTCGAATCTCTTTGATCCTGGCCGAACTTGCCCTTGCCTTTACCTCCGCCACTCCTGTCCTCCTTGTCCCTCCTTGTCCATGCTTCTGACCTTATCCACAGCCTCCTCGGGATTCTTCATGGTGGTCGCGAGGACTCACTGCGTGTATACGGTGTTGTAGAGAGGACATCCGGTAGAAATGATCGATTTTTGCATCGCCTGGAAGCTCGGTCGTTTGTCAAATTCTACTTTGTATCTCGTGTCATTATCATGGGTCACGAATTGCGGAGATAATTATTTTTCCTTTTACATTCTTTATTATTGTAATTCTCTTTTCTTCTTACTTTTTTTATTAATTTTAAAAGAAGTAACTTGGATATCTCTGCAAGAAATTGGTTATAATTTCGAAATAGTAGTGGCAAATTTATTTATTTTTTATTATTTATTAATGAAAGAGGAGGTTTGTAAAAATTTTTTATTTATCCAGGGAATAGTGTATTATTCATTGGTACACCTAATATATGTCTGACTGGTCAGAAAAGGGTTAAATCTTATCCACACGTGGTCGAGGCGATTCAGGGTGGCCGTAAATCTCAACCCTTTTTCCACGCGCATTTACATCTGGCTGTACGCGCTGGAACAAAGCAAAAAGAATGAAAACTCATCTGTAAGCTTATCCGCGCTATCGTGTATACGGTGCGTGTATGTTCTTCTTATTTTCCAACCGGTCAGGAAACGTTCGAGGGACCGTGTTTTTACCGGTTTCGAGGTAAAACTTTCGTCAAGTCGGAAGCTAAGCCGGATGGTGTTTGTTCCATCGTAAAACTTACAGTGTCTCGATTACTTCGCCCTCCTACACTTCTTTTTTTCTTAATCATTTTCTTTTTATTATGTGAAAATCGCTTTCAGAGAGAAATAGAATTAAAACTTCAAAATTTCCATTCGGATTTGCAAGTTTTAATAATTTATTAACTTCTTCAAAGTTAATATAGCATTAGACATTTGTTGCTTTCAATATAGTTCGACTTCTTCTTGAAATAAGCTGATAGAAATTTCACACAGTCTTTTACGTCAATTTTCTTCAAGTACTAGTCTCTAAAAATTATCAATTCGATTCAATGATGTCCAGACCAAATGTCTATATTAATTATAGAAGAAGGAAAGAAAAAAATTCTTCAAACTTTCTTTCATTTCTATTATTTTGTCCATCCTGCGGATTTTTACCAACAGAAAAGGTGTCGTTTATCAGGGTGCAAGGTTCTACTTACTATTTCAACCAGTTGTTACAAGAACGAGGTCGTATTGTGCAAGTACGATCGTTATCGTGTATGACGTATAGCACATTCTGTTTATACTTATCAGACGATAATGTAAATTGCAATGTACGCTTAACTTTGGATGTAGTACAAAAGTTAACGAAGACCAGCCAATTGATAGAGAGATATCGTAATTGTCAATGCCTTGTTTCATGAACGTGTAGAATATTATAGGTTTGCTATTTGTAAAATGAAGATTTCTCGATATGTATATTGATTTTTGTGAAATAGAAAACTTATTTTCAATATGAAATATACCTTATTTTCATTGATAAAAATAACAAGTTTTGTAGTCGTGTGTTATAGATAAGGTTTAATTATGCAAGTATACAACATGAGTTTCCAAGTATGAAATATTAAACAAAATTCCTTCTGAGATACATTTAATTTTCACATTAATAATTCAGTGATAGTGAAGTGCAAATAACGTCTGATAGAAAAATATGAAAAATGAATGCTTCTGGAGAATTTATCTCACTGGTAGAAATAACAAGGAACAGGTGGTATAAACTTTATTTTCTATACAGTCATTATAAATTCACCAAAAATAATAGAACAAACACTTTATCTTACAATCTCGTTGTGATCTAAAATTAGAGATACTTGAAATTTCTGTTTTTAACACAAATATTTTCGAGACAATTCATAAATACTATTAGATCAGTGAATTACATTTTACGATAGGTTCTATGAATCAAAGTTGCATGCGTTCCAACTGCAAGCAAGACTGTAACTGCACATATAATTTCTCATATGCAGTTGCTGTCTCTTTACAGAAACCATTATGCAATATTCATTGCTGCACATTTCATTCGTGGCATTTATTCTGTTGGATACTAACATACTTTATTGTGGCAAAATAAATTAAAGAGCAACTTATTGTCACCTGAATGTGTATGCACTTTGACAAGTGCAGTACAATATTTCTTACTGGACTATAATTATATTTTATGTAACCGGCCAATCACCTGGCTCCGTTAACTTCAAAGGCATAAAATACATTTTGTTTTTATAATTTTGATTTACTACGGCTTAAGATACCGATAATAAATTTTCATTACACAATTTAGGTGCATTCCTATTACTTTAAGTAATAAAACTTTAAATAGGCTACTTTGAATTCGAGTTACAAATCTCGAAATCCGCCATATGGACCAAGAAAAAAGACACTAACGTCACAAGCTAAAGATGAGAATATTCCAAGTAAAAGGGGAAGGAAGAACGAAATAAATAAGCTGAAATAAAAATGCAACAGAGTGGGTATGCGGAGGAACAATATTACGACAGGCGTCAAATTTAAGGGCGAGTAGAATGGGCTGACGGGGATGATGCACCGAAATTTATCGAACATCTCTCGCCGATTCGCCGATAAGACGTCGGAGAGGCACGGGAGTGTTGAGTGTGCAAAGGAGAAATGCATTTCGCCGAAGGAGGCAAAGAACCTGCGCCGACTCGATGGTTTCAAGCTCGGCAAACCTGGGCGGAGTTTCGAGCTACCGAGCTGAAAGTGCACCGCCCAACTTCGTCCCCTGTTCGTCCTTCTGTGTTCACCATTCCCCTCTTTCTCATCTTCCCACCCTTGTCAGAATTTCTTCTTTTCACGGTTTCGCGTCTGCAGCGCGCAAACGCGCCCCGACCGACGACTAATTTCAGAACGATCCACAACAGTGGGGCAACCACCGTAGCCACGTCTATACTCTTTCATTTTCTTTCATTTTTTTCATCATATTTTCGACGATCAGTGAAATTTTCTAATGACGCGATGGAATTCATCATCGATATTGAACGATAGATATGAAATTGACTGCGTACGAGGGTTGTGCGACGGTTAAATCAGATCTCTTCAACAATAGGGTCCTCCAAACCCCTTCGTTCTTTTCCACCGCGTTAAAATACGCCTTATCAATAGGCACTCACTGAAGTCTCGACTTGCCCACTTTTTTGCACGCATCCCGCTCTCGAAACAAAAGATGATGACTGTAATTTTCGCGAGAAGTGTCCGTATTGACGGCACAAATGACGCGGTTTCGAGCTACGCGTTTTCAATGCTACGCCGATGGAAGAAAGATGAAAGGGAGAATCGTTTTATGCAGATATTTAGTTGAAAGAATGTTCCTTCGGCAATCCATTCGTGGAGACTTTTTTAAAAGAGTCAAAATTAATTGAGGTACTTATCATCAAAGGGATGCGAATGATAGTTTTATTATTTATCATATTGTATTTGATGATTTTCAAGGATTTCAAGAACTGTCACTTGCAACCCTTTAATTCCAAGTACTTCCATTAACTTTATGTGTTTATGTATTTTTCTCAATTAACAATAATTTTGTAACATGTGTAATTAACAGATATTTCTTTTATTTTCAGAGAGTACAAGCTCACACTGTGTGGGATGCGGTGGACGGATACATGACCAGTGGATTTTACGGGTTGCACCGAATCTGGAATGGCATGCAGCTTGTTTGAAGTGCGCGGAGTGCCAACAATTTTTGGACGAGCACTGCACCTGTTTCGTTCGGGATGGGAAAACCTACTGCAAACGAGACTATGTTAGGTAAGAAATTGTCGGAAGAACAATTGCATGGTCATCGGATTGGCGCAATTAGGTAGGCAACAGAGCGGGCCACCGCGAAAATGCGAACTGGCCCCCTCGCATTTGCAAACGACGGGATTGCAGAATAGTAAAAAAGAAACGCGACAGTGAAGGGAGGAAGCGATGAAAGTAAGAACTGACAGAGGGTGTCTTCAGTGTATTTTTATCTGGAGATTCAGAAGCCACTGTATGCGCTCGAGGAAACGCAACTGCAACAAAAAAGTGCAGTTCACACGTGGTTGCATCGAACGTAAAATTAATATCTGTCGACGTCGAGGAAGCTGTTTAACTTGCGTAAAGGGTGAAAACAAACGATTGATTTATTACATGTTTAATACACTATTATAAAAATATTATACAATTTTTATTTTGTGCATTATTCAATCCATAGAATATAACAAATTAGGAAAAAACGATAGAAAGCAGCCCTAACAGATAGAAACAAAGAAGTCAGAGCAAGGTTTGAAAATCTCACAGGGCTGAAACAAGCCTCGATGTTCAACGTAATCTAAAACGAGTGGGGTCTTCAAGAAAAAAGACGAAACTTTTTCAAACTCGTAGCAGATTGATCAGCACGAACCCCAGACAACCTGCGCCAAATATTTTTCTCTTTCGTGGACAGGCGGTTTATTTGCATTGATCCATTGAACGTCGAAACGCCTCCGAAACGACGAAGAAGAAGAAGAAGACTGACATATCCGGTCGACACGGATTTGCCAGGCCAGAGAGACACCGATGACAACTGTTTGTTGTCTCTGTCGCCTCGTTCGAAAAGTCGAAACAACGAGGGTAAAACGTTTCCTTCTGGGTGATCCTCGTTCCTCGAGTAAATTCGGTCAGAGAGGAAAGAAACGTAAAAAGTAACAACAGATCTTACCGTCGCGCAATAAAAGTTTTCGAAGTCAGTTATAATTAATTTTGTTATGGCAATAGAATCTTTTTTTACGTTGAACCAACTTCCTTTATTAACCAGTATCCTGGATAATTGCAGTTGTAGCATGTCCTATCACACATGAACATTTCCATCGTATCAGTCATCATGTTCATATGAGAATAACAATAGCCATTCTACACCAACGCGATTGTCAATTATTAGCCATAAAGTATGATTTATTAACGTTACCTTCGATTCAACACCACCAAGTGTTATTCCTCTTTTTCTTAACAATAAATCATTAAATAAATTACGCTGTACTATGCTTCGAAAAGACAACATCGTCCTGTATCTAGTTTAGTTAATTATCGAGAGAACTCCCCGATACAATTACCGGAGCAATTGATAATTAACTGGTTACCGTCCAAGCTAATTATGCATCGTACAGAACTTTTATTTAATAAAATTCGACAATTTAGGAGGCACCGCTAATGAATGCAATTTACCTCGTTCGGAGAAATCAGGTAGCCAGTCGAGTACAGCTAGCTTAAAAACCGATAATTAACTACTCGATACCGGTGTGCAAGCTAAATTTCATGGTAACGTGTAGACGAGAGTTGACGCGGATAGAGGCAATAAATAAATTCACGAACGAATTTACGGGAGAAAGATGGTAATTTCAATACTTAACGGAATTAGTAGGGTTTTCGAATTTTCAGGTAAACGCACACCCCTACCATTTTCAGATAATTAAATTTATTTAAAATATAAAGATCTCTAGTTTCCGTGGCAATAAAAATCACGGGATATATTGTCACGCGGAAGCATACGATTTAATATTGAAACTTACAATTTTCACTTACGAAGTGAAATTTGTTGCAGGCTGTTCGGAACGAAGTGCGACAAGTGCAGCGAATGTTTCAGCAAGGACGATTACGTGATGCGAGCGAAAAGCAAGATTTATCATATAAAGTGCTTCCGATGTTCGGCATGCATGAGACAACTAGTACCTGGCGATGAATTTGCCTTGAGACAAGACGGTCTTTTCTGCAGACACGACCACGATGTCCTCGAGGGTGGGAAGCTTTGCTCAGGACCCGGCGGTGTACCTGGAAGCGAGAATAACAACAACGCATCCCTTATGAATAATAATCATCATCTGCACCCGAATGACGGCTCGATATCCGGTAAGAAGAAAGTATTTCCCTTACAAAATTCTTAATTCTATAAAAATCAAGGAAAAATTGGGACCCACTAGAGTAATCAGGAGGGTCAGAAGGTTCGTTCCTTCTATGCCATAATTTAATTATACATAGTTACAAAATTTTTCAGTACATGGAAAAGGAATAGAATATTAGTTGTAACTTACTTGCGGATTACATTGTCCGGGCAGGAAGTATCGGAGCACAAAGGGCAAATTTGCGAAAGGGGTAGAAACTCAAAGGGCCCTTGTGACATCACGATGTTTTGTTAGGATCACGGGTCATAATTAGGTGTTGATAATTGAAGCCGTTAAGACCCGAAAGGCTTGACCACTTCCCTCCTACGCGGCAGGATTACACAGGATTAGTGTTCCTCCAGCTAGCCTTCCTAATATGTCCGTGCACACATATTGCCTGGCTTGACTGGATTAAATATCTAATAAGGCTCGTAATTTAATTACGCCGTGTAGTTTACGTCGTGTTACGTTACCGAGTTTGCAAACACTGTTTAGTGAACACTGCGAGACGTCATGGAAAATTGATAGGGAAGGGTTGTTAAAATCATATCATCAAAGATATGCTATTCATAATCGCTGAAAATTTTGAAAAATTAAAAAAATGCCCAAGATTTATCCTCAGGGCAGACTGAAGGCATAGGGTATCTCTTGGCACAGAGGGTCGTCAGAGGTCCTGATGATTTATTATTTCTACACAGAAGACGTATACTATTACTAATTCATTATTTACATATGCCAACGATAAATTACATTTAGACGGTCGTTCTAACAGCATGACACGACACTGGTTAATCGGTGATAATTGAAAATTGTATAGCAACGCGGTACAGGGGTTAGTTGAAACGTCCTCTTCTAATTCTCGCGTAAACAATTACGTAGAGACGCGCGCGTATTTTCCATGGTGCTTGTCACTCGAGTATTTCTCTTTTTATTTTTTTTTTTTTTATTTTTGTATGGAAATCGTTGCGCCTAAACGTTTTTTCCGATGCAAGGAAGCACGGGCCACCGAACGACCACGACGACCAGTGGTTTGACAACTCTTTAGAGAGGAGCCGAGGTGTCAAATGTAACATCTCTCTGCCAACTACCGTGGTACATAACTACGCACGATCTCTTTCACTTCTTCTTTTTATTTATGAAGGTTTATTCAATTCCGTCCCTACGTTCGGGAGTCGTTTCCTTTCTATCCAGTTTAATGGGAGGACCTGTTACGACCCTGCAAGAGAAAATGAGAATTCGGTTTCCGAGACAAATTGTACATTTGTTAAGTTTGATCAAAGCGAAAAATTAACGAGAATATTTAATCGACCAAGGAGGTTGTAGTAGGAGGTTATCATCAATTCAAATCTAAGATACACAAAATTTTATTTTTAAAGTCGTAGCCTTAAAAGTCGCTAAAAAATACATTAAAGTTTCACCGATCCCCTCCGTACGTGGAGGAAAAAAATTTTTGCTCATGGGCACATTTAAAGAACAAACTCTTACATCAAACAAGTAGCCCCACAAATACCGCTATTACCAATAAACGTCGTAATAATAATCGGTTTCACGTTCGACACGAGAGGTTTCCTCTTCTCTCCTCCACGAATTCTTTCGATCCACCTCTCTTCCTCTGTCCCTCTCTCGCGGTTCTTCCTTTGTGGCCACTTATTTGGTTAGGACGCAAAAATAGGCGCAGGATTTCGTTTACTCGGTCGCCTTTTCGTCTTACCGTCCGCAAACATTCGATTTCGTGCGACTACCAAATCCTTTCGAAGGACACCGCCAAGGAAACTGGATCCTTATCGCGGCACGAGTTACTTATTACTCGTTAATTGGGAGTTAATGAAATTCGACGCTCGTCCCTCGTCCACCCGTTTACATATGGGTTTCGCTGTTTGGTCGGCTGAAAAAGTGTCCGAAAGGTTCCTGCTGGACTCTTTTTGTTTTTTTTTTTTTTTCTTCTTCCCGCTACCTTCCACCGCTGATCGATGCGACTAACAAGGGGGGTTGAACCTAACTAAAAATTTGGACGTTGCTCTTTCGTTCTTCTTCCTTTTTCGACATAAATATCAGGCAATTTTTAGTTGGTCGTTCGATGATAATGAATCCGATAAACCGTGTAGTACAGTAGAATCTCCTGTATCCGAACACCCATTATCCAAATACCCTAATATCTGAACAGACTGTCACCTTGTAGCGTATCCCTTTTCTTCTTTCCTTTTTCGTACAATTATCAAAATGAATTCTGGTCACAATTAGAGGTGAAATTTAAGTAGCTACAGTGAAAGGTTGGTTGTTTCAAATAATTGAAGCCCTAGTTTTTGAAATGAAGTGAAAAATGTAAAAGTTCTGAAAGCACTTTTATTCTTTCTTCTCGGAGCCAATAGCGATCCGTAAATCGGTCAAAGTTTGCTCATCGACAATATTGTCCGTGGCCTCTCGAATACGCAGATGTTCTCCATCCGCCATATTGAATCACTATCCGGATCTCCCATTAGCTGGGAAAGAAGGTTTCACAGGACCGGTTAGGAAGACAGTCGCAGCCTCTGCATTCTCCTGATTTACCTCTTCCTTGGGAAGTGGACTTTTTTCCTTTTAATTACTCACCTTCTAATTGCTCAAAGATCTTTAAGTCTAATCTGTAAAATATTTATGATCATCTCCACGTGAAACCTCTAAAAATTGATATAACATTGAATATACAATAGATGAAACTGTGTTGCAGAAAAAGTGATGGCAAAGAAGGAAAGAAGAGAATAAGAAGAAAAGTTGCTTGAAAAATAAAGGAATCGAAAGATTAACGTCAATAACCATGACGTCGGTTTGTTCGCAGATTCCGGCTCCGAAAGTGGATCGCACAAAGCGGGCGTGGGTGGCACCCGAGGATCGGGCGGCCATAAAAGCGGCGGTGGTTCAGATGGAAAACCGACTAGAGTTCGTACTGTTCTGAACGAGAAACAACTTCACACTTTGAGAACTTGTTACGCCGCAAATCCACGGCCGGACGCGTTGATGAAGGAGCAATTGGTCGAAATGACGGGCCTAAGCCCGCGCGTCATCAGGGTATGGTTCCAAAATAAACGGTGCAAGGATAAGAAGAAGACAATCGCCATGAAACAGCAGATGCAAGAAAAGGTGAGTACATAAATAAAAAATAAATAAGGAGAATTTTATTTATTGCGATAGTATTAAATCTGTGACTGTGAAATCTGTGAATAAGAAAATAAGGTAATTACCGTTCAACAATTTAACGAATCCAGGTATTTTTTGTAACAGGATGGCCGTAAATTAGGCTTCGGTGGAATGCACGGAATTCCTATGGTAGCCAGTAGTCCCGTGCGACACGAGAGCTCCATAGGAATGACGCCACTCGAAGTGCAAGCTTATCAACCACCATGGAAAGCCCTGTCTGACTTTGCCCTTCACACTGATCTGGACAGGTTAGATCCCAACACGCCCTCTTTCCATCATTTAGTATCACAGGTAATTTATTGATTAAAAATATCTTCGTTTATTTTAGATTGTAGATACATGTTCAAGGAGATTGGTTATTTGGTAAAAATCCGAAATATTTGATTTCAGATGCATGGTTACGACCTTCATAGCGGGCCACCACAATTACCACCGCCAGGGATGCTCGGTGGACCGATGAATGACGGTGGAGGTGGCGGGGGTGGTGGTCCATTGCCACCCCCTGGTCCACATCATCCTAGCAGTGGTGGTCCAGATATGGGCCAACATCCGGACAGCACCGATAGCTATGTAACTTACCTTGAAAGTGACAGTGATTCCCTTCATCACGATACAGGAAGTCCATAGTGCTGTGCGGTGTGGCCAGAACGAAAGTGTCCGCTTTCTTCGTGGTCTTCTTTCAACAAGTGCTTGAAAAGAATAGTAATTTGAGAGAACAACTAGGGGTGAAAAATGAACAGTTTGTAAACTTACTGGAATTTTTCGTGAAATAACTTGACCTTCTTTGCACCTGATGAATCGACTGTCCTTTTTTAATGAAGATAAGGTTTGTTTCTTAGGGATTGAACCATGATGATAATGAATTTTTTGTGCCATAAAATTGATTAATAATTTTCATTCAATTTTAAAGCATCTCTAGCAGAAGGATTCTGATACATGATTGTATCACAGAGAGGAGTGAAATCATTAATTACCTGAAGATTCGTGTTGGAATAAATTTTTATGCTCAGAATCCGTAATTTTTGTTCATAATAGGAAAACTAACATATCATCAAATAAATTCTGTTAAAGAATGAACATTAACTTTTTTCAGTTTTTTATAGATTACAAAATTGCTGCGTGAAAGGGTTAAGGACACGTCTAGTTCTCAATACAACAAAAAACCAATCGCAATGGAAAGAAAGATCAAATTTGCGGAAACATGAGCTTAAATAGCGAACGATTGAATGCTTAAATTGACAAGATCTGTAAAAGAAGAAATGTGTGACTGAAAAAACTCATTTTTCGTTTTTTGATTCGAAACGAATGAAATTGATAATTACCCAATGTATTATTTATCCAGATGGTGAAAATCATGATGCTCGATGTTTCGCAAATAAACATTTTAATCGTGAACGAGAGAAATTCGCTTGTACATCACGAATGTATCCGTACACGAGAAATCTCAGGTAGAATGCGCATGGCGATGAGAAACATCGGCAATCGGGATTGTTCAAATAAAAAATTGAATATTTAACAAAATACTTTCAATAATCAAACGATCGTAAACATGATTATTGTAGTTTGCAAAGTGAGCGAGAGAGAAAATGCATTGAAGACAATTAGTTTGATTATTTATGCAAAATAATTTGCTGACGTCGAAGAAACCCACCTTTGTGCGTAGAAACTGTGGATGATAATTGATCAAAAATGAAAGAACAGTTCGATCTGTTGAATGAAACTTAATTATTTAATTATTTAATAAATTGGTAAGACTTTTAATTTGATTGTTATACAATTTTGATGGGTGAAGGGGTGCAATATTGTCCAGCTATCATTCAACGAGAGACCGTACTTCCTATATAACGAGCTTCCGGTTGTTCTGCGCATGTTAACTCTAATTGGTCCAAACACGCTTCTTCTGCGCATGCGCGTCGCTGTACTGCGCAGCACACGCCGCGCCGCGATCTTATATTCAGTATATTTTTCGAACTTGGGGAGTGTGATTCTTTTGCTCTGTTTTCATATTTTTGTATAATTATAAAGTGTCACAAAGTGTCACCACCTGCTACGACATTGGAAATAAGAGTAGAGGGCTTCACTGAATTACGCAAAACAGGTAGGATCTCTCGTTGAACGATTAATAAGTCTATTGACGTATCTGCAAAAATCTTTTTTCAACAACATGGCGCTGCCATAGGTCGGCTCACGTGCGTCTGTTTGTCATAGCACATGTCAAACACGTTTATTTGTTTTACAACAGATACTGTAACGTTATTGTTCCATTATTGCAACATTACTGTAACAGAAACAGGAAGTATTACATACCAATGCAGATACATAAAACTTTCATAGACAATTATATGAATATATACCATAAACATGGCTTCCTCCTTTGGAGATGATTTAAAAAATAACATTTAATATCCGAATTGCTCATAACTTGAAATTTGCAACTTGACAAATTGCAGATACGTCAATTAGTCTTAATAGGGCAAAATAAACGTAGCAAAATTTTCTCACCTCCCTCTCTGAGGAAGGAACGAGTGTAAATTTAAGTTTCCAATATTTTATTGCAAACATAGGATTGCATTAACCACGCAAAATGTGTATACGTATCGAACGTTTCGGAATAAAGGAACTTGAGATTGTTTCGAACTCTGTTCTGCGCGGTGAGGGAGGTTGTATGCTTTCGATGGATTTTATTTGTTGATTAGTTTCGATTTAGTCCGTTCGAATGACCAAAGAATGTTTTTATCGGCAAAAACAGAGAGAAAGAGAGAATGACGACGCAGTATCGTCGACGGGGTTGAACGAGTTTTCTTGTTCAAATAGAAAATGGAAGTCGAGCTGGATTCATGACAAAATAAAATATTTATTTCGAGTAAATATTATGTAAATAAAAAAAACACGAGAGATGTTTAAAATAAAGTAAAGGTGAAATTGACTAACATTGTTCTTTTCTCTATTTTTCTTGTGTCACTAATATTTTATTAAACATTCTATTTTTATTTAGAACATTTATAAATATAAAGTCATTCCTATTTTTTCGAACATATGCTTCCATTTCGATTTCCTTTTCCGAACAATAAATCAAATAATATTCTTCTGCAATTAAATAAAATTGCATTTCTGATAATAGACCACCATTACAACATTAGCAAGAATTGACAATCAAATCTAGAAATCTAATTATGAAAAAGGAAATACAATTACATTAAATTTTTCCATGGTATCGTTTCGTTTCTTGAAACCAATTTGCCACAATAAAACACTAATATTATTAATAATGAAGGGTAATTTAAAGCAAGATCCAACTCTGTCTCGATTGACTGCGTCACATTGACTAACAAAAGAACTCGACACTGTAAATAATATGATTGTGTCCATTGTAAATTTGGATCACGGTGTATTGCCAGGCGCAATTAATTCATAATATCGATACACTTACGTATAAAGGATTTAAAAGGCAAAAAAAAATGTCGCCAAGTACATAATATCGACGATAGCACATTACCCCGATGTACGTTGTATTTGTAAACGCAGGTATGTACATTCGATAAATACCAAAGTGTACGGAGCTTCATGTGAATACGGGAAATGCACTGAATTGTAAATAATATCTTCTCCCCCCTACCCCTACCTTCATTGTCGCTAATTAGTGGTTCGTTTTAGTAGTGATTCGTTTAGGTGTTTGTCTAGGATCGTTCTACCATCACTCCTCTTGTAATGTATGTACATGTTTCGAAAAAAAATGGGGAACCACCGTAGACCTAACGTTTTTCGTAATCCAATTCGGATCGTCTTCGGATTTGTATGATATTTCTATACCGGCGCACACGTAATAAACTGTCCAATTAAACTATTGGTCTGTTGATTGATTTTCAACCAGGATCCTTTCCTTGACGATTTATTATCCACATTGGGCCAAATCTTGGCTCTAAAATGACTCCGAAAATGGAGACATTCCAAAGATTTTAAGATTAGTCTCGTCTTTTTTGATGGAATTTTATACTTTTTTAAAAGTCATTAGATGAATTTTGTTATTCGCTAGAAAAGAGCATTGATACTTGGGTCGAAATTTGATTAATTCAAAAGATAATTTAGGAACAATTTGGAATTTTTTTTTTTAATTTTGCACTTTTCTTGACGCCAAATTTTGTGTCTTGCTATTCTCTACAAAAAATTACTAAGGTACTTGGGTCAAAAATTGATTAGTTTAAAAGATATCCCAGGGGGAGACCGCTAATTTCTTTCAGTAGAAAGGTAAAAACAAGATACAATACATATGACATAATTTTAATTACAATATAATCGAATCAGATTTACAATTTAAAAAAACAGATAAATACATTATATTGTAATAATAATTTAATACTAGTATTTGTATAGTAGACATCCATTGATTTTAATTAGCCGTAGAATTATTACAAAACTGTGTAAACTTAAATAATTGATGGTAAAGAAAACAACCCGTATATACTTTAAGCTGCAACGACGAATTGCATTAAAACATTTGCATACGTAGAAAAACATAGTTATCCACACGTATAAAATAGTATTTCAAATCCTAAATTTTTCTTAATTTATTAATAACTTTAGTATTCCTACTATTATGAAAAATAAATGCAGCAACCGTATCCACGAATTAGATACAATCGAAACATTTAATCAACGGCAATGAAATTTAAACGTCTATTGAGCAGACAGAAAACGGTGTGTAAAATGTTGGAACAATGACATTTCCTACTTTCATTGTTGACATACCAGAAATTTCACTCTGTGATTTATATTACATATAAATCACGTACCTTTACTATTGACAATCCTTAAGTACTACCTGAACATCCACGTAATTGGTAAATTGTATCTTACATTCACAACAAGAACATACTAAATACATATAAATATTAAATAATGCTTCACATGTCTATATGTTCAACATGAATCGTGTGTGTATATATAATATGTATATATATTATAGTCTAACATTAAATAATAGAAACAATCTTGTACATTCATGTAATAATAAGCGTACAGTATGAGTGAGCTTATAAATATAGGAATGTATATCGCACGAGAGATGTGGGAACAATTATTGTTCAGTGTCAGTTTAAATAAGAGAAATTTTTTTATGGCATACTTTCAAGGCAACCTTTAATATGTTGCCAAGCTTGTAATCCCTGTAATGTTTAACGACAATGTTAATATTCTGGTATACAGATAGGGAATAAATTGAACCAACAAACCACTTTACCTTTCTAACAAGTTTAAATTGCAAAATGCAGTAGTCTGCCAAGATATCTTTTAAATCTACCACTTTCTGGTGTTGAAATCTTTCGATATCCATCATTGCTTTGGCAGAGAAAGATCTAAAAATAGGTTCCATAGATTCTTAAGGTTCCATTCTCAAAATTTTTAATCAAAATATCTTACTTTAAATCTTCATCTACACGTTTCACAGCTTCTTCGTGTTGTGCAATTCGCTGTTCTAGTTGAAGTACTTTCAGTTCACGAACTTCCTCCGTATCAACGGAACCAAATAGTCGTGACATTAAGCCCGATTTACCTGGAACAATAAATCTTCTTGAGTTAATAGATACTTATCTAAGATCCTAATACTATTCATCACGAACCTTGCATAACTTTTTCTTTCTGTTCAATTGCCGTAGTTAAAGCATCATGAGACTCATCTTTAGCTAGTTGTAAAGCTTCTCTTCGTTTGACAACTGCTTGTAATGCAGAAGCCCCAAATAGCCATTCTTTTAATTGATCCGCAATTAATTCTTCCTCTTCTAATGTCGTGTCTATTGTCGCTGCTAACGAATCCAGATAGTGACCCGATTTCTAAGAAAATAGGCTGTAATGCAGTGTGCTGTGCAATACATATACCTCTGGTGTAACTTAATTATACTTCAATATTTATAAAAATTTCACGGAAAGCTGGTCGTTTAAATATTTTTTAATATTATAAACCTAAGTACCTGTAGTCCGTCACCCATTTCTCTTTCTATGGCACTCCATTCGCTAAACACACGACCATAATTAGCGTGTAATTTATACAAGCTATACTGTTTTTCTACTAGTCGTGCGCGTACTCGAAGAAGATTACATAAATTAGTCTGCAATGTTAAACAATATCAAACATATAAATTCTTAACTATATCTAACGAATCAAGATACCTGAAGTTCAATTCCATAATTCTTTATTGTTTCAAAACGTTTATCCGGCTTCCTTAATCGTACCGCTACGCTGAGTGCTTTTAATTTTGATTCTGCTAACTGTAGATATCCTATTGTACAGAATAAACAATTATAACATTTTTAATAAACGTAGGATACAATTTATCAATGAAATGCAACTTTACCAGTCTCTTTAATACTTTCTCTCCAGCCATCTTTTTGTTGTAAAAATCCCATAAAATGCACATCACGAGATAATACTGGATGTGATGCTACCCGCAAGAGGAAATTCTTAAAAGCAATTTGCAATGAATTTTTCAACTAAATATATTGTATTAAGAGACTAGTAAATGTGTGTATACGTACCTCAAGACCAGCTCTACGTCTATCAACAAAGTCTGGATCAAATGTGTCTGTTGTTACTTTCTGCCATGCATACAAAACTTTCTTTTCTGGCAAAGGAGGCAGTACTATGTATGGATAAGAAACCTCTAAATAAGCTCGAAGCAGTTCAAATTCAGTGTATCTGCGCCACAGAAAGCACACTTCTGTGATTACACCTTTAGCTCTGCAACAATTGACATACAAATGTTTTATATCTCTTCAAGCAGAAATGTATTTCATTTCTACTTACTTAGTCTCAATGAGGTAGACTGTATAAAATTCTCTTAAATTTAATACTCCATTTGCTCGCTTCTCAGCTTCAGTTATAGAGATCTCCATGTGATCAAGTAATGAGTCCTGATAGGTAATAAAAATAATGTAAGGGTGAGATGACAGAAATATGAATTCATCTAGTAATTGCATAGTATTTATTGTTTCTATATAAAGGAGTATTATGTTCTTAGAAAATATTCTATAGGAATTTGAAATTATGTAATAGAGTAGTATTTGCTGATAACATCCAATTTCATGCTATCTACATGTTCCCTTAGGACATCATGTGTAGGTTTAAATACTCTGTACTCTATATAGGTATTCTAATTACTGTGAATACTTATTCAGTGGTGCTCAAACAAAGAATTCAAGACCTACTTCGCTGTACTTCTAAACAAATTAGGAAACTTATGTATCCCAATTCCAGAACATAATTAATTTTATTTGGGTTGAAAGGGAATCTTTTGTTTCGTGCGTATTTAATGATGATACGTTAATTATTTTGGAGGAATAATTTAATTTTATTAAAATTACAATATGTATTGACTACAATGTACATTAAATGAAAGCATAATTATAAATGAAAATTCATTATCGCTACTCTTAAAGAAAATAAAATGATTATGAAATGTTATCATACAAAGAACATAATATTTATCGTGACAATAACAAAACATGAGAATCACTGTGCGTTGTTTCAGTTCTTTCGCAATTGACATACGTTTTCGATATAATTATTTATCGTTTCTTTAGTATGAATAATATTAAACTTTATTAATTACAACAACTGAAAAATCAATTGATACGTTTATGAAACAATTTAAAGGAGAATCGTTTAAAATACGGCGTCGAGTGATGTATTGATTTAGGTGGAGGAGCGAAACGGGAAGGGAATCACGATGCTCCTCACCTCTTTCTGCGTTTCTGTGGTGGTCATGTTTGCATTCGCTTCTTTTTGATAATTCCCGTTCTGAAACACTTCTTCCATGGTGCCTAAGTCGGCCTAAAAATCTACGAAGCGACCAAGAAACTCTGTAATTTTCACATTACGTTCACTTTCTCCATTACTGACAAAGCCACTTCGCTCAATGGAGCGCTGTAAGTTGTAATGTGCTAAATTCCCTTGAATACGCTGATAACGCAACTATTTAATCACCGGCTGTTCTTCAAGCATATTCCATAAAATTAATTCGTTTATCTGCTGTAATCTTTATAAATAATTCATCGTAAGGAAATATATCTAAAATGATACTCAATCTTACAAGCAGTTATATCGGATGGAGTTGTGTTCTAGGGACTTCATAGAATTATGTTGGAGCCACTGATTGTTAGGGGTAGAATTTGGGCACGCGTTTCTTTAACTTTACCACCCTTTAGTGATTCGTAAATGTATCTTCGATAAATTCAATATCTTTTATTTGAAAATAATTCAATCATTGCCTAAGGGTTACAAAAGAACATCCCCGAAATTAAATTCTATTTCTATTATATTCTAATGGTAAAACTAAATGCTTCATAATTTAATATTCATTTCACTGTTCGAGAACACGAAGAAAATTACATTTACATTAAAACAATAATAAAATAGGTTTATTATATAACAATGATGTTCTTCTATGTTACATCGTTTTACCATGTCGCGATTCAATTAATATGCTACCTAACGATTCACTAGCTGAGAAAACGATTAAAATATGATGAAGGATTGTTCTATAATAATTATTTCACGCCGTTCAGTTACGAGATTTAGTAAAAATCTCACTTATGATACACACTCGTTCTGCAGACCGAACTTAATTTTCACGCAAACATATAAAAGCGGTGAGGGAATCTTATGCTAGACGAGTATAACTGTATTATATTTACATATTTACATGATAAAAGAAATCATGCACCGAAATTACACACAGTCGACGAAAGACCAAGGATAAGGTATATTTACAAGCGAATCTTTCAGCTATCACTAACTGGTTAAATATGTTTTATCTAATAATACAATGGTCCTTAGGCGATTTGCTTCGATTTGTCCTTTTCCGAATGTTTCCGGGGAAGAAAAACAACCAATAAAGCCGATACTGAAAAATTAATGTTCAGTGTAGAAATATTAAAATATCGTTAATGGCTTTCCATAAAATTTCTATCGTGATAGATTACCTAAAGAAGCAGAACCGATCATAATGAAGGGACCCAAACAGGATAAATCAAATAAAAGTGGAAACAACAAGTTTCCTACGACTGCTCCAATTCTGCCGACCATCATAGTTAAACTAACTGCCATAGTTCTGGAAAAAAAAAAAATTAAACAATCGATAAGTCACGATTGAAGTGAACAAATTTGTACATCGTTTGAAACTTGCATACCTTAAACAAGTGGGAAAATTATCAACGATAACATTTACGACACAGGCACCACCAATGCTTGCCATAGCCACGAAAACTGAGGATAAACCGAGAATACTGTTAGTATTATCCGCCCAGTACAGAGATGCGCAACAAGCTGCCGCTACCATGAAACAGGTTGCTGAAAATAAAAATTATTAATAAAATGGAGCGTTCAATCAAAATAATGACAAGAGCCCAGGTGAATAGCCTTACCTATCAACTTCTTTTTTCCTATAACAGTGATTAATGAGCCTGCTAATGTGTACCCTACAACACCAGTTGTAGCTATCACGATAGAATTGATAAACACCGTTGAATTTAATTCCGCCTGAAATAAAATAAAAATCTACTAATTACACGAGAGCCCATATCAACAGGTGGTCCTAATACCACCCTCTTTTCTAATAATTGTAAATATCGTCATACCGGTATGCATTTGTGAGCAAGATTTGCAGTTTCATTAACGAAACTCATTGAGGAACTGTGATTGGCATCCTGGCCTAACATGTAACAAAATCGTGGTTGAGAGCTTACGTACTCCTGTTTCGCGTAATCGTTCTTGAAGTGTTCCATCATAGTAAATAATTGTGGCATCCATAGTCTAATGGAGTTTGATCTAAAAATTGAAAATTCGGCATTGATCAGCACATTATTGTTTGATATTTAAAGAATCAACGATAGTGAAGTTTATTTAAAAAAAGAACATTTATTCAAACTGACCCTATCGTGGCTCCCAACTGTATCAAACTTATTATAACAAGTTTACAGATATTTGGTGACACAAACAAGGGTTTGATTTGCATCCAACCCGATCGTAATTTATCTTTAACGGTATTACTGCACGTCTCAACGGAATACTCTTCCTCGAGATCTTTTATCTGTAAATGAAAATAATTATCAGTCTAACGTATTTACTAGACGAACGACTCGATATCGTTAATTATCCTCTGTCATGATTTTGCATTCATTATCATACGCGCAAAATATTTTTTTTATCAATACCATTACGTAAAGCAACGAGCAGTGATTTTATAAGATGAAACTGAGAACTCTGAATCTAGATTTACTGTTATGAAAATGGTTTTAAGGTTTAAATAACAAATTCACCCGAAATAATTCTCAATGGTTGATAGAGGATATTATACATCTCTGAATCATATTGCCGAACAGACATATAAGCTGGATGGAATTAAAAACCAAAAATATGTCTCTATTGATAAGATAAGAAGAACAATCGAGTCGTACGTCATCATATGTAACCTTTCTTTTTTTCGTGGAAAAAACCTGATTTTAATGTCACTCACCGGGTATGTATCTGCTTCTTTACCAGTGTTAACCGAGTAGATTTTTTTAAAAACTTCGAGAGCCTCTTCTCTTCTCCCTTTCAATAAAAGGAAACGAGGGCTTTCGGGGAAAGCAAATAGGGCAACACAGGCTAGAAATTCTGGTAACGAACAAATTGCTAGGAACACTCTCCAAGAATTGATTTCCATCGGGCCGCTTCCGATATTGATGGTCCATTTTTGTGGAATGATTAGCCATGCGATACCTGTAATTAATATTTTCTTTTAATTACATTTTCAATTAATATTTCTCTTCCATCTCCGTGGTCCGTTTTTCAGACAAACCTATATCATAAATTTGAAACAAGATATTGAGAATAAAGAATACTTACAAGGTAGAGAAATATTTCCTAAGGAGAAGAACACCCCTAGCCACATGTAACTACGAGAACGCTGCGTCTCATTATGTACTTCCGCTAAATAAGACATTAATGCGGCATAAGGGCCAGATATGCTATAAATGTAATTAAAAAATTTGATTAGGATACGTTCGATTCGCTTTAACTAAAAGAGACTGATCTATTAACAAATTAGCTAACAAAATAATGATTCGATTATTGTGACTTACATCACACCATCGATGAATTTGAACAAAATTAAGAGCCAAGAGGCATGCGAGAAACATGTGGCCAGGCTCATGACCCCGGTGACCATGTATCCATAAACCATGATCTTCCTACGACCAAACGTATCAGTCATGAATCCCCAGAAAAACGAGGTGCTGATCATTCCTGAAAACAATGAAAGCTTTAATAATAATTGTAGATTGTTTGAAAGTTTGTCATTTGAAATTAAATAGGGTCCAGGATGGGCTTACCCCATTAAAAAAAAGGACATGGATTGGCATCCTCACCATTTTTAAATTCTAAGGTTCTAAAATTATCGAGAAATTATCTAATTGTAAGTTAATTGCAGGTGATCAAGATTTTGTTTAAAAAACAAAAGTTAAATCTTCTAGAAGTAGTTATGTACCTACACAGTTTCGGTTGTAAATCAATTTCAAATGTTTATACTTATGGATACCGAGGGGCTTGCTGCTCCCGGGGGACTTTCCATTTTCATAAATTCCTCGTATCTTGCTTATCTGTTTCTATTATTGCCCCAATATCAAAGTCTTTACAAATGAGTATGCCCCCCGACTACAACGATTCTTGTTGATCGGTGAATATCATTAAAGGTAATATTGCTTGTAACATTGTCAACAATTAATTAAATCGGTGCCATAAAAAAACGATAAGTTACCATGAATTTAAACGTTTTCCTTCAAATCGTTTGATTCATTGTGTACGAATTAACTGGTTGGTTCTATCGGTTTATTTTAACTTATCCTCGAACACGTATTCAAATTTTTCAGATAATTTATTCCAGGAACGAGCCTTCAAGATAAATTCATTACATCAAAAACCAAGGACTTGTATTTTAAAGTATCAAAAAAGATATTCGTACCCCTTAAAAAGATCCTCTATAAAATATTCTATCCTGATGCATTTGTTACAGAGTATTCAACGTCGATTAGGAATTTTACACATGCAGATTTTATGACGCGATTATAAACGATATTCAACTTCCGTTTGCGCAAAAAGATTTCGTAGAAATTCTTAATTACACTGATATAAATTTTTAATATTCTATAAATATTCAAACCATTTGAAATGAAACTCTCTAAGAAACGCATAATGGATATTATAACACGGTTCCACGAAAAAATTGCAACTACGTTTTCGCGTATATAATTGTATCTACAAAAATCTTCCTGCCTATTTTTAAACATATCAGGTGACATGTGAATTTGAAGATTTATAGCAAACATTTCAAACGACTACTATCATTTTCTGTTAGCATTACGCGCTGATAACTAGTATGAACAGGTACAAATTGCGAGGAATGTGTTTTTATTTACCATGTCCGCACTCCTACAAATACATTCTCTAACGACCCCGTAGTGTCGAACCATACCAAATTGCGGATTGATTTGTCTGTATAAGCCAACCTGTAATTACAGTCGCGTTTATGTGTTTACAAATACATAGGTATACCACCTGCGAATGTCATCGAGTTGAGGAGACCCTTGTGGAACATGGTAAGACCCAGGTCGCATTCTGCAGACGGCAACACGTATGACATCGCCGACGAAGAGAAGATGCTGGAGAAACTGGCAGGCAACACGGCCAACAGCAATAAGTAGTTGAACTTTCCATAACCTGTTGAATATTTTACATTTCGAAAATGTGAAGAAAGAAATTCGATATCAACGTTCCTTGTATTAATATAACTCTTACTAAGATTTCTGTATAGTAAGAGTTCGTTAATAAGTAACGTCATAATTAGTGTACGAAATTAGGTTAATATTAGTGTAGTAATTTATAAATCATGCTTACCGGAACTTATGATTGCTCGTTCGAAATCTGCAGGACCAGATTCCTCAGACTTAACGTCTTCACCTGTGATTCATAATAAGAATAATTATATTTTGAGTCTTTATCAATCAAAGCTACGACTGATTAATATTTATTAAACGCAGGAAAAATAATTAAACAACATACGTCGCCACCGAGTATAGCTGAACATGGAAAACAAATCGCAGATTCGTTTAAACACCATTATTCACGTACTGCACTTAACAAAATTAATATTACCTATCATTATTAACGAAAAG